GCATGCATCAAGCAATGAAACAGCACCTCGGTTCTGATTTTCTTTGTCTATGTGAACAGAAACTTTTTGTACGACATTTATTACTTTCATACTGTTCGGGGGTCATTTTTCTTCAAAATGCATATCCTGAATTTTCTTTGTTTTGAATATTTGAATATTTTTGCACATATAGTGTTTTTTACTGCACTGTTTACCAGCTGGCAACCATAAATACACACTTTTCACATTCATTCTAAAATATGTTTGTTGCTCTACAACATATATTTTTTGGAAAGAACATTTCAGTGCGCAAAATTTGGTATGCTAAAATGCGTGCTGGGGTACTTAACAAACTGGAAAAAACGATCTTCCCGGGACGTATGAAAAATAAACATTTTCGAACGGTAACGAAAGAGTTAAAGCGGCCATGACATGGCCACTCAACAATTTGTGGTTTTCAATGAAAAATAAAAATAGAGAACCTATAGTGTTGTTATATAAATAAAAATGGACTTACAAATATTTCAGCTCAAAATATTTTACAAAGTTTCCGACACTGCAATCGTTCCCATTTCAATGTCAAGCCAGACAAGGCTGAAATAGCTGGACTGCATGCACAGCTGACCACCGAGCAAAATCATAACGAGAATGGGGATGCTTGCACAGCAAGCAGTTTATTACGTCACAGCTCGTGAATGCATCAGTGTTGCCAGATTCCCAGGCTGCTTGTGTGTTCACAAAATAATTAGAAATCAAGTGCTCAACTACTAAACTTTACCTGCTTTTTTGTGAATGCCCAAGGATTAACCCACATAAAAAAAAGATTAAGATGGGAAATTTAGTGTAAAGGGGCGTTAACAAGTTCACTGCGATGTGGGTCAGATGTGGCCGCGATGTTACTTCCATGCATCTGCTTGCTGATGCGATAACTCTATTAAACATGAACGCAGAAGTAAAATTCTTGTTGCAAGAAGTTATAAATAATCAGCAGAAATTCTTTCTCATCTTAGATGCGATGACCCATTGGTGGGTCACGGCGCATCAAAAGATATGCCAAGTGGCCGACCAGTGGGTCACTCTGCACACAAAACGAGCCCTCAAGAAAGCTTGCCGCAACGAATATGTTAAACTTCAGAAAATACTTCAAAACCAGATTAAATCACACAGTGCTCAAGGTTTAGAATTGAGCTGAAAAAAACCAAGAAGTTGAACTGAAAAAATGTGGGTTTGGTTCAGCTTGGTTCCAGTTACAGTAAAATCTTGTCAATTCAAACTTACAGTTAATTCAAACCAATGCCCCGCTCTCCTAGCGCAGCCATGTGTATTTCTATGAGGGCAAACTCGTGATAATTCAAATGTGTTGGTATCCCTGACACCTAATTTAAACTGGACGCCCCTGGTTTTCATTGCTCCTCACAGAAGTCGGCCCAATGCAATCCCGATTCGTTCAAATTTTCGTCAAGCCAAAGCGAACTTCCTAAAGAAGCAAAATAAAATGTTTCGGCAGACGAGATTTCGGACCCTGCGCTGGAGCTCATGGACAAGCTACAAACAGTGCTTATAATCGGCGCAGAAGAAACGCGAGCCAATGCAAATTACTGATTACTTTTAATTTTGATTGCATTACCTCTGCCACATAAATGAACATGTGTTAGAGCATTAATAAAGTCTCATATTTCCTATTAAGACTCGCTGCTCGCAATAACGCATGTCAGTGCTTGCATCTGGGGTACCACCACCTGATCAATTAATTTTGCTTGCTGTTACAGCTCAATCGACTTAATTTACAAAATGACGAGTCACAAATTTGTAGAAGCATCTTTCACATTAATTTGTCCAGAGGTGGCTTTTTTACTCTGGGTTCTTTAATAAAGTCTCATATTTCCCATTAAGACTCACTGCTCGCAATAATGCATGTCAGTGCTTGCATCTGGGGTATCACCACCTGATCAATTAATTTTGCTTGCTGTTACAGCTCAATCGACTTAATTTACAAAATGACGAGTCACAAATGTGTAGAAGCATCTTTCACATTAATTTGTCCAGAGGTGGCTTTTTTACTCTGGGTTCTACCCGCGCAGTGTGGTGCATTGTCCGTTCAGTCTAGTGCCCGCCCGTGATAATCTGAACTCAGCTTGATTAAGGCAATTTTATAGTCCTGTTCAAGTTCAAACTAATGAGCTTTTACTTTAATAGAAGGTGAAAATCGAAGCTTGATATTTATGACTGTCTGTAGTAAGACCTTGTGAATGCCTCATTAAGACATACAAACATTTCAAACACCACTGCAATGAATGCCCCCCCATCAAGACTCCCTAGAGTATACTGTCTGGGCTGAGTGCTAGAGCTGCAATAGCCCAACTGCATGTCTACACATTATGGGCCATTGTTGCCTATAAGACTCCAGCATTTTCTTAATGTTTGGCGCAGCTGGTTCCATGCTGAATAAAATCTGCCTGATCGGCAAAGCAAGAAACTAGTCAACCAATGAATGTAGCGTTTGCATGGGTGAAATGATGACTGTATGACAAAGCAGCAGAATAGAACAGCATCGTAAAGATGGCTTCTGCAAAGAACGTAACCACCAACCAAACCACAGTAAGCATTTTCACTTACCTGCTTGGCAATGCATGCTTGGCAGCACGGTGATTAAAGCAACCAAGCCAGGTCAGAGTTTGAAACAGTTTAAAACAGAAAACTAGTTATAAACTAGTTATGAAAACTAGTTATGAAATAGCGAAAAATCGCAAGAAAGAGATTTTTCGAAAAAGTGCAGTATCCCGGAGTTCAAACATTCAATAATTTCCCGGCGAAATCTGAAATCTGTATTCAATCTACAAAAATTAAAAAAACAGCGTTTTACATGTTTAAGTGGAGGCGAAATGACCGAAAATTGGCAAATTACGTTCGAAGTTCGCGCTCGTAACTTCTGAACGTGGCGACCGGGCGCCGCCATCTTGGTGTCATTTTCAAGCAGCTTTCTTTGTGCGTCTTTTCCCTATCTTCAAAATGGCACCAGTGCAGCGAGAGTGACGCTATTACTCCTTTTCCAAAGGTCTCTTGCACCCACGTGATTGGTCAAAGCGCGCGCTCGCCCTGCGCGCTGGCCTCCCCTTGGTCCGTTGCATTTGTTTTCCTTTTTTTTTGCCCAATTTCGCATTGTGATCTCGCATTCGCTCGGCTCGGGATTTCGGCTGCTTCGCTCGTTCTTCATGTTCGCAACTTCACTACCACGTTTCAACTACTGTGATTATTGAGTTGCTCAAATGTCCGAAGACATTCGTCTGAAGAAAACTACACACCACGAATTCGGCAAGAAACGACGACGACCATGGAATTCCAGACAAAATTCGGCGAGGCATGTCTCGCAATAGCCACTGGACAGATTGAACACGCAGCTGCATTCAGCGTGGGCGCCTCGAATGCCAGTACGGAACTCATCATATTTGCGGCATTGCCTGTTGACGCATCAAATACAGCGCCGCAGCCCACTACATCGAGCACGTGCGTCTCGTTCAGCGATGCCTCGAGTGCTGCCGCGGCACGCATCGGAGATCGTCAGTTAGCGGTTTGTGTACATAAACGCAACTTGGCACATGTCATGTGTATATTCCGTCGGCCCAGGCCTCGAGTATTATCAAAAAACGCATCGATAGCATTTTCTTATCAGCTCAAAAAAATAGCCAGTGTGCAGAAAGTGTGGTCGACGTGAAAAAGCACCTAGCGTCGAGTCGGAAATTGAACGAAAATTTGTACTTCTCGGTTTCGACACGGAACAGGCGAACTTCAGTGATAATGGAACGGAATTCTCGATCGTACATTTGAGCATGTTTAATTACCTTCTCAGACATATGATTTGCGCCAACTCCGGCGACAGTGTCTAAGGAGCAAAGAAAAGAGGACTTTAGTGTGAACCCCATGATGGCATGCTCAGTGCACGGCATGCGCGATGAGCGATTTGCTTCACTGATGGTGACTGGAGATTCATCAATAACGTCATTTCGATATGCAATCAAGACTATGCAGCCAGGAATACCACGAAAAACAAGCTCGTAAATAGACACAAGCCAACTGTAAACACTACCTACAGTCCTGGCCAGCTGTAAAGTGTAGATTCAAGCCCTTGTCGTCGTGAGAACTAAATATTATTTTTTCACTTTTTTATTTTTGTGACCCTGACCTAGGTGCAAATAGCAACAGCACAGACCACATAAGCATGTCATTTTTGGGCACAGTGTACATATACAAGCTGAAATACAACGGTAAAGTGTTTGATAGCAGCTTTCTCGCACTATTTACAAAGACCATGCATGCTAATACAGCAAATTTTTCATGGTTCCTGTGACATTGTTGTAGCATATATGGCATTATCTTGTTCCTGAAAGGCAAAGCTACATAATGATGCCATTTATACAGTTAAGTTGCCATTCCCCATCAATATGTGGAAAACTAAAACTTCAAATGCATTTATCTCAGTTTCATGATTTTGAACGTAACACGAAGTGTTACAGAGCATTTTGACATGTTTTTATTGACTCACAATAACAAGTTTGATACCAATGCGTTCATATTAAATAGATCTAGCTGGTGATGCTATTTATTTTCTTTTATTTGTTGTTCACCAAATTGTAATTCATGACGATTGTAAACGATATCTGGCAGAAATTTTTCACTGATGTTTGTATCCATTTATTTCACATTCGAAGTTTGTTACAAACAATAAAATTAGCATCACGGGCTAGACCAGCTCTTTGCAATCTGAATATATACTTTGCTTTTAGGTTTGACATGGTGAAATTGCCAAAAAAGCCCATTAAAAATATGTTAATTTTGTATTATAAAAATTCAGTATCTTTCGTTCTGATACCGCTACAGAAAATCTACTTATAGATTTGGAATCTGCAGAAGAAAGTGAATAAGTGTATTAAAATTTGTTCAATTCAGACAAGTAAAAAGAATTGTTTCAAGACACATATCTCCCCTTAGAACAGAATATCTGCGATTGTGAAGACAGTGCTTACTGCGTGAGAAGATCTCAATAGGGTTTCCTCCCCAAGGCCAACCCTTGAATTGCCAGGCAGGGCCTTGTACAAAAACAGCCACGACTCGCTCCCTGGAAAGAAAAAATATACACACATTTTGATGCATTTGGTCGTAGCATTGAAGTGGTCAAGACCCCAATTTTCGAAGTTGACAACTGCCACAGAAATCTCTTGTATTCAGAGGTGGCTCTGACTAAGTGTGATGCTCAGGATATGTGTCACAAATGAGCGCTCAAGAAAGCGCGAGACTGATTTCTAATGGCTACAAGAAAACCAGGCTCCGGGCAGACATGATGAAAGCCGGTGAAACGAACAAACAAGCATCAAAAAACGCCATGCATGTGCGTCCTCTCGCCCTCGAAAGAAACTCCGCTACGCCGAACAACCTCCTCGAATCTAACAAAAGCGAACTCTAGAAATATCAGGAGTGAGTCAGTCCCTGGTTGCATCACGGGTTGCGGAAAGTTCGAAAAAGGTCCCGCCCCTTCCCTAGTCTTGGCTGTGCAGTGCGCGGACGAAAAGGCTGGAAACTTCTGAACCCCCCAGGGCAAACATATATAAGCAGCCGGCGAAGGTGGTGAAGGCAGTTGGTGTTTTGCGCCATCAAGTGAAGGCTTGTCCTAGAGTGACAAAGCAGGAAATGGGGTGTTTTCCGTCAGTGGGCGAAGACATGTCCAGCCAATGTGCTGCTTGGAACAGCACATTGGCCACATGAGTGGCCAATGTGCTGCCAGGGAACAAGTTTCGTTACTGAAGTGCTGACGGTGCAAGTTTCCTAGAAGAGAAACCTCAGACGCAGTGGGACGACAACCAATGCTACACTTTGAGTAAGTGTTTCCTTCAAGAGAAGCATTCAAATTGTTCTGAGAACTTTGGACTGAATACATTGGAAGAACATTTTAGTCTGCAAGTGATGGCGAGATGGCGACCACCGACAAATGTGCAGATATGATTTATCGCCAATGAAAAGCCTTGTCACAGTAAGCATCCCCACAACTACCTGCTCCAGCATGCGTGTGGGTAGCGCCGCTTTAACCTACTGCACATTTATAATAGGCGGCTACTTGAACGCGATGGGCCGCCGATCACTGCTGCCTCATTGTGCGAAACCATGTTCAAGAGTGCACTGCTTTGCAGAAATTCAAGCAACTCGCTTGCATCTGCGGGTCTCAGCACCTAAAAACCTTGCTGTATTGAAGATAACACGTGCACAGTTCAGAAAGCGTAGTGCTGTTGTAACCATACTGCACGCTTTTATTAAGCGCCAGCCCCAACGTGCCTTCATCCGCTGCCAGGACTGCTAGAACATTGCGGAGTGCGCGTAATTTGTAGGAAGCTCATCATTTCTGCGTTAACCCAACAGGCTACTGACTCTATCAATGCATCCCGTATCGCCGTATCTGAAGTGGAGTGGGCGTATTCTACAGCAAACGGATCGGCCGTCACAGCATTGCGCTGTGTCTCAACTAGCCAGTATACGGTTTGGCCAACACTGCATCGCATTTAAAAAAACTGCGTTGGTTTTCGCTTACGAGCAGATCGCAAAACATATCTATCACGGACAGCCGATTATGCCTGTTCTGCCAATATACCACGCTGCGTACCCCGAATGTCGCAGTAGTTTCGAAATGGTCATTGGCGTTGTCACCGTTTGCTATCTGCCGGTTGTGCGAGAGTGCCAGAATCTTTTCTGCACTTCTGCAAAAAGAAAGAAATGGCTTTGTATTGGGCGCTTTGGGCAATATTTGCTGTTGCACTGTATTTTTTCCTTTGTTGGTAGCGACGGCATGCGTCCGAGATGCTAACTTGTAGATGGTGGTTAATGCATAGTATAATTAGTGCGTTGTTGTGCCGCCGTTCCCAGCTGGTACATATCAACAAGGCTTCATTGTACCCTATTTCACCCAACACGTCTTTTTTATTACCCTACGACTAAAAATAGCGTCGTGTTAACATACAGACTACACCGAACGACGTGCAGACGTATTGGGAGGCTGAAGCTGTAGTAGCTTCAGAAATTAAAGGAGCACTGACATCAAGTTTCAAGATCGAGATGTGCTCATCATTCGATCGCTTAGTATGCATAGGTCTTCTTGGCCAAATTTGAACGGCATCTGTCGCGTGGAAGTCATTTTTGATTCGATGTCAAACAGCATAGAAAAGCTAAGGAGAAAAAACGGAAAATAGACTGCCCTGCGACATTGACACTAGTGCTACGTGTTCGACGTGATACATTACACAAATACCATCCTGAGTGATGATGCTCCAGTAGCGATAGCATGTACGATCCTAGTGTTTTTATCGTGGCGCCGACTGGGGCCGAAGTACAGAGATGCACTCACTCATCGCATCTGATCTTCGTCGCACCGGTTTGAATGATTTTGTGAAATTATTGAGAAAAAAACCACCTTTAAAAGAACGACAAAAGAAAAGAGCATGATAAATCGTGTTTTTGCTAGTCAGCAAGCCGGGGAATTATTGTGATTTGCAGGCGAGTTGCAGTCGTCTAGTTCCAAGCATGGAAAAAGCGCGATGAGGGTGTCTTTTCATATCACGTATTACACATCAACACTACCACAAGTTATCAAAAGTGGAACAGCGCATAGTCAGATATCATCGCTAACAACTAACACGCAAGTATCGTTGAATTTTAGTTCATCTGTAGACTTTGCGTCCACGTAAAAGTGGTAATACCGTGATAACCGCGAGAGGCTGGATAAGTGGGACCATCTGGAGGCACAAAAAAGAACCTGGCAAGTAGGAAACGTATTCTATTTCTCCGCTGATGCTCATTTGCGATAGCTATATTGCATTGACCCCTTTGCGCATACATGAATGCTGTGCACGCCAAAACACACCAAAATAGCTAAATGAGACACACAAGCGAACTTGGCTGAAGCGTGCATCCTCGGGCACCTCTGCAGTGCTGCTTGGAACGGCATCCATTTTGGAATCACTGTTCTGCAAAAGGTCAATCGAGGCAAAAATAATTCGCAACATCGTGAATCGCAGGGATTCCAACCTTCAGACTATCATATTGAACCCGAGTCGACATTTTGTAGGGCGACGACAGCAATGCAGGTGACAAGGCATGACTGAATGTGTCCACCTAGCAGACAAATTGTTTGCGGAGCAGCTGAGCCTGACGTCACTCTTTAATGTGGAGAAGTGGTCAGATGTGGCGTGATCGGGAGGTGACCGCTAGGTAGCGCCACTGCTGGTGCTCCCAGCGCTTAAAATTGTGGGATTACCGGCCGTTTTGAATAGTGCTAGATACCAATGATATAAATCAATAAAAGTGGTAGTTATTCATCCCTCAGTTGCGTTTTAGGTCGCGAATCGCTGCTACAGGGTCTATAGCTGCTCGCTGATGCAAAAATCTTGGCATAAGTAAATTTGATGTCAGTGCTCCTTTAACGAAAATGAAAAACCGCAGACGGGAAGAGAAACCATTCTGGTATTTGCATGTAAAAATGAATTTCAAAGCAGGAGACTTATCAGCAAGTATATGGCTGGCAGTGTAAGCAATATGATAAAAAGGAGCGTCAACACAGTTGTTAAGTTCAAGGATTTAAGCGTACACATACCTGCTAAGTGCAAGGATTCTGAATCCAGAAGATTTCCGCAACAAGGGGTGGGGTGGCACAGGACTATTTTCCCCCTTTATTTTGGCGCCAAAAGAAAACAAACAAAAAACATCGCGAAAAACGAGAGATGGGGGTCCCAAACGCAAGCGCTAACAACGGCGTTGCGGTCTTATAATGGCTTGGTCCCACCGAACAAACGAGGGTAGGGTTCCCCTCTAAGGTGAGAGCCTCAAAGTACTGCTGAAATTTGACGTCATCAAAACAAACAGCAAAACCTATTTCTGTCAAAATAACTCGCATATGTCTTCCTGGGACACACGTGAATGGACCGCATGGCGCAGCTGCCTGCCGCGTTAAGCGCGGGTGAAAGCTTTGCTCATTACTAGATTCTTTTGACAGGAACGCCAAAACGCTTCTAGCTTTTTTTACGTCTTTACTGCCCTTAATCTACCACTGCGTTAGCAGCGTGCCCTCAGAGCTCGTAGATCGCTATCGCATCTCGCCGTCACCACGGTTTTGTGTGCAGTAGTTGCAGCAAACAGTACAGTTTTCAGAATGCATACGCGCATTCAAAACTAAGTCGTTTTATGTTACCTATGATCACATTTGGAATGTTTTTGTCCACAAATTTTGCAAAAGGCAGCATTGCTTTCTTTGACTGGTCGAGCGTTGGACGCGCACACACTTTTGGAGTTCTGACAGTCACGTCGTCGCTATACATGATCGTGTCAAGAACAACCATGGTTTCGGCCACAACGGTTGTGGCAGCGACAATCCCACGCACTGTGAAATACAGTGCATGCGCTGGTCACATGCACACTTCCAAAGCTTCGAGCACGCCGCTTTCGGCTTTCATTGAATGGTCTCGGTACTAAAGTTCATATCACTCGCCACGATGAGTAAAATTGTAAACAACATTAGAATTTTGGCCCCATGGACAGCGAATTCGCATCTGTTGCAGTTTCACATTACTGAGATTCTACAGTAGATTTAGATGAATGCCTCCTAAATTCGTAATAAAATGCGGTGGTTTTGCAAAAAGCCGGGAGCGGATTGAGCAATATTTTGTCAATGCGGCCAGATCATGCACAGAAATTTCGATTTCTAGGAGATTTTCCCGACAACCGTGCAAACAGAAGAAACAGTCGAAATCGTAGAGTTTCCCTGACAATTTGGGAGACTTGGCAGGTCTGCATAAAGCGAAACACCCACAAAAACAGTTCTGTTAGGTAATGTAGGGATGGTGGTGTAAGAAAGAAAATCGTCTGAGTAATCGCAGTAAAGGTAAAATCAAAATAAGGAAGGATTCATTTTACGACACGAAAAGTGCTTTGTTGTTTGAAGGGGAATTGCGTTGTCGCAGAACGCGTAGTTATAAATCGAGATTAGGCAAAAAAAAAAGATCTCTTTACCGTGCATGTCTGTGAAAGCTAAGAAAACAGAGGAGCATGTTTTAATTGAATGTAAAAACATACAGTAAGGCG